GCTAGTCTTAATTCATTTTGAAATTAGTTATCATTATGTTCCTAAAAAATTCCAAATTATTGGATACATTTAGTCCTTAGAGTGTCATAGTAACGGGCTGCTTCAGGCATAACTACAAAATGATGGTTTTGCCAAAAGGCACAATAACCACTCTGCATTGTTTTCTTCTTTCAAAAATGAGGGAGTAGTTATAGATTGGTACTGATGTTCTTTTCAGCTCCAAATGAAACTAGGTTATAGGATAAACGCCTTATATGCGAATGAAAATGAAAAATCTCTGAGAACTTTAGAAATTATTTTCTCCTCCCCAAACCTGTCACTTGTGAGAAGTTAGCTTATTTTGGAAAAATTTAGGTATTGGAAGCTCTTAGCATACTATAGTATGTGAAACTCAGAAACTAACTGTGTATGATGGTATACGCATTTTTTTTTTTTTTGATACGGCGTCTCACTGTATTGCCCAGGCTGGAGTGCTGTGGCGCGATCTCGGTTCACGCAAGCTCCGCCTCCCGGGTTCACGCCATTCTCCTGCCTCAGCCTCCCGAGTAGCTGGGACTACAGGCGCCCGCCTCCACGCCCGGCTAATTTTTTGTATTTTTTAGTAGACACGGGGTTTCAGCATGTTAGCCAGGATGGTCTCGATCTCCTAACCTCGTGATCCGCCCGCCTCAGCCTCCCAAAGTGCTGGGATTACAAGTGAGAACCACCGCGCCCGGCCGATATATCCATTTTTAAAAAAATTTTGTTTAGAGTTTATAAGTTACGGCTTTGGAATCATTATTAATTGGCATGGAGCTCTTTGTTCTGAAAAGTTCTTTCTCTTTTGATAAATTAATGTAGATCAAATCATATTTATTACAAAAGGAAAATTTTTGTTTTGAATGATATAATGTTGAATTTAAGGTTAAGTAATATGGGGCTGGGAAAATGGCAAGGGGGGCTCTTAACTTTCACAAAAACTTAACATTAATATAAAGGAAAACCAAATAATACTTGGAGATCTCAAAGCACTTTTAGAAACTATCTAATTAAGCTTTCCACCCCCTGTGCAGCGAATATTCTGTTAGCTATACAGGTGAGAGTCTAAGAATTTCTAATTAAGTTGTGTTCTTTTTTACCAAGGTGCTCAAATTATACAGTTTGCCAAAGGAAATGTGTGCTGTGTCTTTGTAGCATGATTTTCAATGGAGTTACCATCTAATTTCTCCAAAACAGGCATTGTGTAACATTGTTGTCACTTTCTGTAATTATTTTCACTGTTATACTGTGATTTTGAAAAAATACTGTTAATGATTACAGTTGAAAACTTGTTTAAGGTATTTGCATCTAAGAGATGGTTTTCTTCCAAATTGTGTGGGTACATTTTTAGTTACTTGAATTCAGATCCTATTCATGGTAAGCAAGTTTCTTTGGGGTAGAGGGAGGGCAGAGGTGGACAAAGTGGCTATTTGTGGTATCCTAATTCCGGGTATGAATAGCCTGGATTCCTGGGGCTTTACCTGGATTCCAGGGTGAGTTGTTATACTTTATTCTCTACATATATATTATGATAATACAGGTGATTAAAGCATCTTGAATTTTAATGTAATCTTTTAATTTGAGCTTTTGATTGTCTTTTTGAACATTATGCAATCATATTTTCTCGTACTGTTCTCTCTTAAAAATGACCAAATGCCAAAGGTTATGTGACACAAGAATAATATGCTTAAATTGGATCATTTTTCATACTAAATTAATGAGTGGGAAAATCTACATTGGCTCCTGGGTATAAAATAAAGTTCCTTCTACAAACTGTTTATTACTGATATTACAGGAGTAAAAGAGAAAAAGTTTTATTCAAATTAGGTTTTTTTTAGAAATAAGATTGCGGGGGCTTTTCTAATTGTAAAAACAATGCAAGATTGTTGACAAAAGTATGAGGAATATATACAAACACTAAGAAGAAAATAAGTCACTTTTAGTCATAACCACAGATGGTTACATTTTAATATAATATTTTCAAGGATTTTCTAGGCCAGCCAATGCCTTGTTGCTGAATAATCTAATTATCTAAATAATCTTAATCTAATAGTATTGATTTTGATTTTGTATGAACTAAATAAGCCTCTTATTTACTTCCCAGCCAGAATATACATTGCTGTACCAGTAAATACTAGTAAATATTTTACTCTTGACTTTGAATCAAATTCTAAATTTAACTGTCATCAAGACATTCATTTTTCCTCATATATTTGTATACTTTTTGACTTGCTTGCATATAAAGTGATAACAATACCTTAAGTGTGATATAACATATATATTAAACTATACCCTTTAGATTCTAGGCATCTAGGATTTTCTTGTAGTGAGGATTAATGATACTGTCACTGAAAATATATATGTATATAAATAGTAAACACTTTTCCTGCAAGGACAAGGATTTCACACTCTCATTGTTGTAGAAGCACTATTGTAGAAACTTTTGTCTACTTCTTAGGAAAGAATTAAATTAAAATTTGTTTGCTGTACACTTTTGGAAACAGTTCCACAGGGAAGAAAATGGGTCTGGAAATCATGTTTACTATTACTTGTCTAATATTCTTAACCACTGAACTTGCAAGTTACGGTAACCTTTTTTTAGAAGTATGTTAAGAGGAACAAAAATTTTTCTGGTACAGCAATTATCACCTACAGATGGCCTAAAATTAGCATTGAGTTAACTCCAGAAACAGCTTGTGAGCTGTGAAATGGAGTTCAGATAGATAGTGAGATTTCACAGAAATGCCTGGTATATTTGTATAAATAACCAAATATCAAGATACCAACTGATGCATACAGATAACTCTGCTAATAGCTTAGCTAAAAATCCTACAAAAATTTGGTGTTAAAGCAAATTTAATTTGATCTGAACATAATGAAGCCTCTTAACTAACGCATAGACTACTAATGATTTGTATATATATACTCAAATAAAGAAGGTTTGAAATTGAATTTATTGTGACATAATCTGATTAGAAGGAAAGATAATTTCAATATAGATGAAGGCATTGATTAATTTGATAAAAGCATGCAGAGTTCAGGTTAACTTTTCTCAGGCTTTTCATTGTTATTATTTGACAGATTTTAAAAAGATGTTACATTTTATGACAAGGAGAGAGAATTTAGAGTCAGAATGTAAAAGGAGGAGCTCATGAGCTATGAGAAAGAAATTAACTTTTGCAGGGGAGAACTTGTGTCTTTGCTGATGAATCATCTAGTCATTGGGCATTCAACAAATATTTCTGGCCTTTAATAGCCAGGCATTGAAATCAGTGTTTATGTCAAGTTATTAAAACTTCTTGAGTTTTAATTCATATACATAAAGAATATATTTTGAACATGTCCCTACATAAAAGACCTCTTGACGAAGGAAACATTTAATGTTTAGCATGCCGTTGGTATAATTTTGTAAGTATGGTTTTATGTTACGGGGTTTTGTTTTGTCTCATGATTTTCTAGGTAACTTTAGGCATTCAGAAAGCAGACATTTAATATATACATGACATGCATATGGTGTAAGGGGAAAAATAGCTCCTGATATTCCCCCATCTCCCTGCCCCCACTATTCCAACTAGAAATAGAAGAAAGCCTGTTTAAGAGAGCCAAACAGGCAGTGGCTACCTTTCTGGACTCCACTTAGCTGCTTTGTAGTTAACAGATCTCATTTTCTTAATACAAATGCACACACACGCACACACACACACACACACACCTGGGTAAAGACATTTTTATTACCAGTCTCCTTCCTCATTCTGTTTCTGGTGATCTCAGGACTTTGGAGAACTGAATTATAGCTTCCCTTCACAAAATGCTGGGGGAACTCTTTATAATATTTTAGCTAAGCATTATGGTCCCTGATGAAATGTGCTAAATTTTAAAAAAAACTGTTTTCAAATACTGTTAGGGTTTTGTATAATCTATCCTTTACAATAAAATACTCCACCACTGTTAATATGCCTGATGTACATCTGTCTGTACTACCGTACAAAGCTGTTCATAATACATCTGGATTGGATGTCCATATAGCAGAATTTACCTTGTCAAATCTGGATGGCATTTTCTTTCTCAAAATATTTCTAGGAAAACAAAATTCCCTTCTCATCAGAATGCTATCTACTTTAATTAATACGAAGTATTATTCAAGATAGAAACAACAAAATTTCTAGGTGTAGCATGCATTGAAACCTTATTACTATAAAACAGCATCTGTTTATTAGAGAATTGATGATATCTGGGAGTCGGGAATTTATGTTACAACCTCAGTATTTAACTATGAGGTGATTTTGACTAAACCATTGGACTTCTGAACTTTTCTTGGTTAATAATGTATCAAAACAGAGTTTAGAAATAGCCCCTCTCATTATATGTATTTAGTCAACAATTATGAAGTCCTTAAAAAATGCAGATGTCACCTTTTCATTGTTGGTTATTAGAGATCACATCTTAACTCTCTTTAAGGATGAGTTTTACTTACAGCTAACTAGAGCAACAAGAGAAATGAATGTGAAGATACACTTACTCTTTGCCAACATATCACTTTATGGCATTCTTTTAAAGACTTTTTGGCTGGAAAAGTTTATGTGAGCTCTTGAGATTAGAAAGCTTAAGTCATCGTGGTAGGCAGGATATTTCTTCTGATAACATATATTCTTTTCTGAGAATGCATTATGGGAAATGTAGATTTTCACTGTAAATCCTTCATTGTTTGAAGAACTCTGTGCCAGTATTACATTTCAGGCAAGACTAATTTTAGCCAAGTTCCTTGAAAGTATTCCCTATGTTCTCTCCAGTAATTTCAGCTGGTTCCTTTTTATGCCCTCTTGACACGGTCACATTCTAGAGTATAGAAAATAACCTGCTATCTGTAGAAGTGGTGAATGGTTTCATGATTCTCTTCTTTTTAGTGTGGGTGAGTTTTCTTCACTCTTTTCCTGTTGCCTGCATCCTCGGCCATCATGAATGTTTTGCTTTCTCTCTTGCAGATGACACAATTGGTACTGCCTGGCATGGTGGAAAGGTGAGTCACAAGCTCACACACAAACACTGTGGAAGCAGAGCTCATGATTATTTAGAGGGAGAATCCTTGCTTTGAAAAAATCACTGAAGTGACTAATGAACCAAGCCTCCATGTCTTAGCCACAGAGTGATGTGCCAGGCGAGTCACAGTAAAGCATGAGTCATCGGTGGTGGAGGCCTTTTCCACTCGATTCCCTTTTTATTTCTCTCTCTAGGGTTGTAGTGGTTCCTTTAGATCAGGATGAAAAAGCTTGCCTGAGTCACCATCACTAACTCAATTGCCTGCTATTCTGAGGGGGTGGATAGAGTTCCTGGGATATTCCCGGGAATACCTTCTTAAAGCTGTATTCTCTCAAAGCCAAAATCAGTAGAGTTGGATTAAGCAAGACCTCTTCCTCTGGTTTTTCACTTTTAACTGGGCGAATGGCTGTATGAGGAACTTAAGCATGTTATATAAAGTGATTATAAGATGTCAAACCAACCCTTGGAGGAAAAGACAATGTCCACTTGCCCCATCTTTGTCCCAGTTTGAATTGGTTCTGCTAGTACGTGCTGAATGTCTTCATTTTGATTGAGAAATATGTTGTAGAGTTCTGTTATTTGAAATAGCATGAAGTGTAAAATTGTAATTAAGCTCTTTCTTCCTTGGAAAAACCTGAGTGATGTCTAGGCCTTCAAAGAAAAGCTGCTAAAAAGATTTGGGCTTGCATCCTGAGCTAGCTCGATCATTTGCTGAATTTAGGGCATCGTAGTCATCTTTTTTTCTGCAAAATAACTATGAGTTTGAAAGAGGCCCAGAGGAATCACAGCTTTGAAAAGAGAAGACCCAAGGACCATACTTCTGTTAGGAAACCTCTATGACCCACTCCAGGCAGGCATTACAGCTTATGTTTATTGAATATATAGTAAGTGCCAGAAACTTAGTACGTGTTAACTCATTTAACTTTGATAGCCTCCCACCATTGTACAGATGAGGAAACTGAGGTTAGGAATCCATTTGTTGAACATCTACAGGGACTGGTTAAAAACAGTTTCTCAGCAAAGGTCCTTATACACAATTTTGTGTATTTTAATTGTTTTATTTTAGTAACACTTCCCTTTAAAATCTTCAAACTGCCTATTGTTAGGTGCCAGTGGGAGTGGACTCCTGATGGTCAGATACATAAATGGCAGTGGTTAGACCAGACCAGAACCCTAGAAGATAGTAGAGTTGGGGCAAAGTAGAACTCAGGAGAGATTAAATTTGGGCCTCACCTTAATCCTAGTTTTGACATCTGCAGGTAACATGGCATTAATTCAGAATAGTAAATCTGTCTATTAAAAAAGAAACACTTATAAACCACAGAGGTATTGTGAAAGGAATTTTTAATTGTATTGATGAAAACCATCAATAAGAGATATTGGTGGCAAAATCATTTTACAGCATAAAGTCTTAGAGTCAAAGAGTCATAGAAATCCAGTGCATTAAATTAATTGACAGTAACCTCCCTCATTTGACAGATGAAAAAATAGAGGCCCAAAGAGATGGAGTGCTATGAAGCTATACAGTTAGTAAATAATACAAAACCAAGGAGCTGGGAACTTCACTGCTATCTCTGTAGACCTGACAGCCATGATCACAGCTGGAGCATTACATAAAAGCAATGCAAAAAAAGAGAGTCCATCTATTCAGTAGGCATTCATTGAGTCAAGTGTATCGTGGATGAGTTGGATCCTTGCCTTTTAAGAAATCAAGTTGAGGCTGGTGCAGTGGTTCATGCCTATAATCCTAGCACTTTGGGAGGCTGAGGCAGGTGAATCACTTGAGGCCAGGAATTCAAGACCAGCCTGGCCAACATGGCAAGACCCCATCTCTACTAAAAGTACAAAAACATTAGCTGGGTGCGGTGGCACACAGCTGTAATCCTGGCTACTCAGGTGGCTCAGGCACGAGAATCACTTGAACCCCAGGAGGCGTTGGTTGCAGTCAGCCAAGATAGCACCACTGCATCCAGCCTGGGCAATAGAGCAAGACCCTGTCTCGAGAAAAAAAAAAAAAAAAAAAAAAGCAGCGATCAAGTTGACTTTAAATTGAGGTTGAGAAATGGTGGAAAGTTATCAGAAGCTATGACTGAACCTGACACCACATTACCATTTTGATACTTGTTAAGAACTAGTGAGAAATATATGTGGATTTTATGAATCAATACTTTTGGTTAGGAAAAGGAATGTCTATGTCTACTTGAATTAAAGAACTTAGTTACTAGATATGTCAGTCAAGGTAAGCTACCTGCTGAAACACACCACTCCCAAATCTCAGTGGCTTAACACATAAAGGTTTACTTTTCCCTCCGCTCTCTACCCGTCATTCAGGGATCTGCGGCTCTTGCCATCTAGGGGCATCATAATTTTCTGGGATCTTGGAGTTCTCTGCATCCAGCTGACAGATGAAAGAAAAGAGAGTAAACATGGTTTTAAGGGAAGTTTCCCTTCTACCCACATTTCATTGTGCAGAACTCAGTCATAGGCTACAACTATTGCACAGAAGGCCAGAAATGTTAGCTGTGTGCCCAGAGAGGAGAGAAAAACTCCAAGTTAGCACATCATCTTGAAAGCATTCTTACCTTACACATTATAAGTGGTTTCATTATAGCCTGCTCTTTACACCATCCCCAAATGGCTTATTTCCTATGGCTGGTTTCCATAGCATTAGTATCTCCATTGAGTAACAGCAGAGTCCTTTATCATGATCCTTTGTTATTGTTTTCCTTCCACTGGTTCCACCTCTGATGTATGAGATTTTCCAAACCCTCTAGAACTATAGCCTAGGGCCAATTGACTATCACTAAACAAGTATCTATAATCAAACTAAGGTATTGTTACGATAGATGTAGAAAGTACATAATTACATTATAGAGGAAAGTTGCTCTTTTCACTTCCCTGGAATTATAAACATTGTGTACAGCTGGAGCCAGGAGGTGGTTGCCATAACAACCATGGGACAGCTAAAAATAGCCCCTTTCATAACTGTATTGCTTAAGGTGGAATTACGACATGTTATGGTGTTTTAAGGCAGGTAATTCTCTTTCATGTGCTAAATGTTTGCAAACTTTCTTCCACAAAGCAATATTTGTACAATGTAAGTATTTGGATTGCTGGTTCTAATTATACACCTGACCCCTGTGTTCCAAGATTCTTTTTGACATAGATCTCTATTTTTATAGGTTTCTCAGTCTTCTTGAGAGTCTGTTAGAGAACTGTCTGTGCCAATTTCAGTATTATGTTTAAGCTTTAAAAATATATATATAATGACAACCCTCCCCCTCAAGAGCCTGCTTTTGTACTACTTGATATGAAGTGGAAATGTGAAGAATTGGGATGGATTTTTTTTTTTTTTCCCGGTACATTCTTCCTTGGCTACCATCAAATTCTGTATGCAGTTAGCAGTCTCCACTAGGACTGACCCTGCAGTTTCGGTTCCTCACAGCAGCACATCTCTCTTCCCATCTGCACTGTGGGACAGTGATGAGGTTTCTGAGGAAGGTAGAAAACAGTGACTTACTTCAAAGGAGACCCATTATGTCCTCTATGACAGTAGTATTTTTACAGAGGTGCGGACAAGGATACCACAACAGTCTGATAGAATATTAAGGCACTTATAAAATAAAGGCTTAGCAATTTTTTTAAAATCCAGGTGACAATTAAGGGAGCCTTATTGGGAATTTCACAGGTCTGAGGGAATTCCATGAGAGAGCATATCTATAAGAAGCTGTAAGTGCGAGGTACTGAGTTTTAGAGTTGGGCGAGTTTAATGTCTGGCTTGTGGGAGGACTCGTAATTAAAGAGAATATGTTTATAGGAAAAGGTACTTTCCTGTCAGCAGTTGGTGTTTTCTGCTTTGGGTTTTTTCACAACATTTTAGTTCTGGTAGATCCTCAGTAATTTGTACCACCGATACACCATTGTGTGGCTGCTAGTAAGTAAGCAGTTATGATGAATTAAGAATGTTGCATCACGGAAAACATTGCTTGACTTGTTTATTTGGATATTTGTCATAACGAACTAGAAAATGCACTGAAGTATGAGCAACATGAGTCTTCATTATAGAACTTCAGCAAAAATTCTTGATATACCTTCCAATCTTAGAATTGTTCCCAAGTCCCCAGAAAATGAGAGATTAACCAGGGTTTGGTTTCATGTTTGTTTCTGTGTGCAATTAAGCACAGCCCATTTTGTCCTTCTGCTTGATATAACAGAGTTGTCATGAGTCTGGCTGTGCCATGGAAACTGGTTTGACGTCACTAATTCTGCTTAGATGGAGGATTAGAGCTAGACAATGTGGTTGATTTTAAGGGCGAGTCTTTTGTGCCTTGCAGTCCCAAATGCTCAGCCCCATTTCTACATAGAGAACAGATACTGTATACAGTACAAAGATTAAGGCAGGTTATACCAGTATATTATCTATGATTCAGACAGAACTAAATTGAATATTATTGCCCTTGGAAAGAAAGAGCGAGAGAATTTTACACTGTTGTGTGTGTGGGTGTGGGAGGAAGGTTTTTGCTAGACAAATATGTGAGCTTAATGGCAGGACAGATTTGTAGAAGGGCTATTTTCTCTACTGTCACTTTGGTACAATTATAAATGCTACTCTTTTATTTACTTAGGTCGAGTGCATTCTTGCTTTATCCTTTGTTAGTCTTAGATTTGTTTTCATATGTTTTAGCATGCAAATAGTGTATTTTGTATGAAGTACCCTCAAACTCTGACTTTTCACTAATTCAAAGCAACTCCACCTCTTAGAAGTTTTCAGTAGGATTAGAATACTTGAGAAAAAAAATCTTAGTTGCCTCAAGGAGCAAACAAGTAAGGGAGCATGACTGCATGAATGTGACATCGGATAATTGATCTGTATTGTATTTTAATATGGGAAAGAAACTTTTATTAGCTTTAAATGACTTTTCCTGTATTTAGATCATTGCTTTGGTGAGTGAAGTTTTAAGGGTCTGTTTTGATCAGGTCAAGATTTAATTTTTGAAGTGCACTTGATAATGTTACATTTTACCTTTTACAGATTTTTAAATTGCATTTTGTTAGTGAGAAACGGAATTTAAAATGTAAGGTTTCTGTTCAAGGGCACATATAACCACCCCAGCTAACTTGAGTATAATGGAGCATTTAATCCAGCTGATAGGCCAAGCACTGATAGGTTGCAGCTTCAGTGGAAAGCCTCATTTTTCTGCATCTACTTCAAACTGGTTGTGTCTTCACTTGCTGTGAATGAGTTTGGACATAGCTGTTCCCAGTTATATGAGAAAAGGTGAAAATAAAATACTACCCATACCTACAAGGATGCTTAGGATACAGGAGGGGGGTTGACTTGTCAAGATTGAGGGTTACTTCTTAGAAAGCCTATTGTGTTACATGCGATATGATCGTTTTCACTTGATTGGGATCTGCTCCCAGCTTAAAGGTGATATGTTCCAATATGTCATAAATATTTTTCTTGCTCTTTTCACAGATTTGTTGAGATAAATTTCACATACTGAACAATCTACCCATTAAAGTATACATGGTTTTTATACTTTAATGGTTTTTAGGGTATTCACAGAGCTGTGCAACCATCACCACAGTCTAATTTTTGAACATTATCAATACTCCAAAAAAGATAAAGATATTTTAAATATTACAAATTAATACTAAATTTAAAATCTCCTGTAACAAAAGTGGTCTTTCTGTTTTCATCAAAGGAATTTCTCACAAATATAGATAAAATGAAAGGACTAGATATTCATTGCTAATTTACCAGTTTTTATGTTAGAATTGTTGAGTTCTAACTCCTGATACAAACTCTTACCTTAAAATTTAAAAAGAAAAGACTTTTCTGTTTCTGAGGAAAACACAAACAAAAAATATCAGAATGATATAATTAAACCATTGACTACTTATTTCCAGCTTTATTCAAAACCCTACTAATATTTTTAAATTTGAAATGTAATTTTTATCATCAAAATCTTAATGGATTTCACAGTTTAGGAAGGCACATAATACTAATAAGGACTTCTGTTAAACAACAACAACAATTTTTGCAGTGATACACACTAAGCCGAGGACTCCCACTTCCCTTTGATGGTTGAAGTGGCATCTCGCCTAGCGGCTGGCAGACGGAGCGGGTGACTTTTGGGGATTATTTCCTTTAAGATTTATGTCTGAAATAACTTAGATGCCATTTAATCATGTATTTTTTATTATTTTGCATAAAGGGGGTCTTTATAGTCCCTTTTTTGAGCTAAAAAGGTGTTGGGAAGTAAATTCGACAAAGAACAATGAGAAAGTGGGTTAAGAAAAGGAACCTAATATGGGAGACAGGAGGTGGGTGGGATCAGGTTGCAGTGGCTGACAAAGGGGAATCCCCTGAGAAGAACGGATTTGAGAGGAAGAGTTGGTAGTTGTGACATTCCTAAACCATAATTCCACACTTTACCTAACCTATACATACTTTTCAACAACTGGTATCTTTATAGCATTGCTTTTCTCAAGCTAATTTTCACTTTTTTGTAGAATTAGAAATTCCTGGTAACTTTGATTATTTAACTTTCAGTAGTCTCTAAAAGTTACAGTAACAATTGAGCTTTGCCTTTTGGCAAAAGACACAGTTTGATGAACTAGAGAGTAACATAATTTTCGAGTCAACTCTTTGTTGGTGCCCAAGTCTCTACAACCCAGGGAAAGTAGAAGTCGAAAGTAGAAGTGGAATCTACAACCCAGGGAAAGGATATAGCCATTCACTCATTGCCAGAAAGTTTTATTAAGTACCTGTTGGTTATGTGCTCAGTACCGTGTGGAATATTTTGAGGGAAAGTGGACTATTATATACAGAAGCTTATGCTTTTGTTGGGGCGAGGAGAGAATGTTTATATACATAGAATGATTAAATCCTACAGTAAAGTAGTACATGATGATATGCTAAAATAAAGGTGCATGCAGGGAGTATAAGAGATCTGTAAGTAAAAATTCTTGGCACCGTGGCTAGAGAAGACCTCAGAGGGTAGAGATCAACTCGAGGAGACTGGAGATCTGATCTGGTCATGCCCTGGATTACTAAGACTGGGAAATGAGCTAATCGTGAAGAAGAGCTATTTTTAGTTGATTGAATTATGTCTCATTTACTGACCGAGCATAGCACATACTGATGAAAGGCAGGGAGAGATGTGTGTTAGAAAAACAGCTACGTTATTCTGTTTCAAATAATTACATATCTCAATCTGTAATTCACAAACAACTGCATACTGTGGTTTCACTCCTTTTACATGGTACATTTTCCTTTTTAGATCCAAAGGGGCTATTCTGAACATCTCATCTGGCAGTGGCATGTTCCCTGTCCCACTGTTGACCATCTACTCTGCAACCAAGGTAAACAGTATTTTCTTAAATCATGTCAATATCGTAATAAGGAGTAATTTTTGATCTGAGAAATTAATGTAGATTTAACTTTCCTGAAGTTCTATTCTTGGCAGTTTTCCAATAGACTGAGAAGAAAAGGAAAATACCCTACTTGAGTTTCAAAAGAACCCGAGTTGGAGGCATACGATATACTTACAGTAAACTTACAGATGGGACCCCAGGATATCAGATTCACAGATGCTGTTTTTCTCCCCCTAGTACTTTACTGATTTTGAAAGTGATACTTGTGCCTTCCATAGAGAGATGACCTAGGCAGTTAGCTTAGTTAATTAGAACATGATATTAATGAGTCTGAGATTAGAGATTTGATATATGAATGAGTCCACTTCACACAGCATAGAAGAAATGCATCTTACAGTCAACGTGTAAATGTACATAGTAGGCACGAGATAGGCTGGGTGAGAGTGTATTTTGCCATGTTGTCCAGAATTCGTAGATATTCTTTGTCACCTTTGGGGTGAGACAAGAATTTTCCAGAACTCTCTGGACAATGTCATAATTTCATACAATATCACCATTAACCTCTTCACATTACTGCTAGGAAAGTAATTTAGAATGTGTCTCCTGCTGCCTGCAGGTCAATGGCGTCATCTTCAGATACATTGTTGAGGCATCGAATACATCTCTGAAGGGAAAATGATCACTCAGATGTTGAAATTAAGCAGACTTTTAGGGAAAAATAAACAAAAATATGTACAGTAAGAACTTGAAACATTTCAGGGAAGGAAAAAAGCAAAACCTCCGACTTCTTTTTCATGTGAAAAAACAGTCACTACTGTCTTTTGAAAAGCTTGGTACCACCTCCCAACCCCTACAATCTACTTTCTGTCTCTGGGAATATACTGTAGGCAAGTTTAAAATGAATGCCATGTTTCTTGAAGGGATTCGTGAACTTCAACTTACCTGTTCTACTCCATGGGTACAAAACTATGACTAATTAGAACCCTTGAAAAGTCACTTGATTCTTTGCATTTCTAGTCTGAGGTTGAGTCCACATTTTACAAATAGATTTAAGGTTGTATTATCAGAAGAAGATGGGCTGTCACATTCACCTGTGTATTTCTTGGATCTTGTCATCCCAAAGCACCAAGAGGATGCTTGTTCTGTTCTTTTTAGCAACAACAAAATCCCCATGGAACAGAGTTGAATGGACTTCATGTCATGTTTCTGTTTGAGTGGCAAGTGGAGAGATGAAACGCATCCTTTGTTATATAAGAGAAAAATATTTTTTCTTGGAAAGTAACTTTCTGGGGGGAGAAAAGCATAAAAAGAGTCTTTTCCAGTTAAATCAAAATTTGATCTGGATATTATATTTGGTAATATAATAAATACTTCATTTAGTGGCAGATAAAAACCACTTGAGGTTTTGAGGTGTTTTTCTAAGTTCTCTTCTGCATTTGAAATGAAAAAAAGATGAGAAATTATAGCATTAAATGATTAGTTTATTATTTTTGTTTCCATGGCTACAAATCAGGCAGATTGATGTAATGTGTGTGTTTTCTTCTCACTCCCACTCCCCTCCCAGACTTTTGTAGATTTCTTCTCTCAGTGCCTCCATGAGGAGTATAGGAGCAAGGGCATCTTTGTGCAGGTGAGTGGAGTTTGTTTCACTTAAGTATCCCTGTTTTTGTGTGGTTTCCAACAGCAACTGTTGCTGTCTTGGCAACAACAACAAAAAAATCATATTCCTAAGTAACTGAATATGACATTAGCACACCATTAAAAACATGGTTTCTTTTTCCTTTATGCACTTGTCTCGATTTTTAAAAAATTATCCCCTAGAATTTCCAAGTAGGGATACTTAAAGTAGAACTAAACATAGTATAAATAGCTGAAGCATATTTTTTAGTTCTTAGGGTTTTATTTTGAGAGACCAAGACTGTCAGCATCTCTCTCTTTTTTAATTGTGGTAAAATAAACATAAAATTTACTATTTTCATCATTTTTAACATGCAGTTCAGTGGCATTAAGTCCATTCACATATTGTGCAACCACTGCCACCATCCATCTCCGGAACTTTTTTCATCTTCCAAAACTGAAACTCTGTACCCATCAAACATGAACTCCCCATTTCCCCTTCCCTCCGGCCCCTGGCAACCACTGGTTGATTTTCCATCTCTATAAATTTGACTACTCTTAGTACCTCATATGGGTGGAATCATACAGTATTTGATCTTTTGTGACTGGATTATTTCACTTAGCATGTCTTCAAGGTTCAAGTTCAACACATGCTGAAGTATGTGTCAGAATTTTCTTCCTTTTCAAGGCCGAATAAAATGCTATTGTATATAGACCACATTTTGCTTATCCATTTACCTGTCAACGGGCATCTGGGTTGTTTCCACCTATTGGGTATTGTAAATAATGCTAATATGAGCATGGGTTTACAAATATCTCTTGCAAACTCTGTTTTCAATTCTTTTGTATATGTACACAGAAGTGGAATTGCTGGGTCATATGGTAATTGTTTTAAATTTTTTGAAGAACTTTGCCATTTTCCATGTCAGCTGCACCAGTTTACACTTCCACTGGCAGTGTGCAGGGTTCCAGTTTCTCCACATCTTCACCAACACTTGTTATTTTCTATTTTGTTTGTTTTTTGTAATAGACATCATAACGGGTATGAAGTGGTATCTCATTGTGGTTTTGATTTGTTTTTCCCTGATGATTAGTGATATTGAGCATTTTTTCATGAGCTTATTTGGTCATTTGCATATCACCTTTGAAGAAATGTCTATTCCAGTCCTTTGCCTAAGTTTAATAAAATCATGTTGTTTGGTTTCTTGTCATTGTGTTGTAGAAATGATCTATATATTCTGGATGTTGTCCCCTTATTAGATACACGATTTGCAAAGATTTTCTCCCATTTCATGAGTTGCCATTTTATTTTGTCTTTAGTCTGCATAATGCCTTTTTATTCACAAAAGTTTTTAATTTTGATGTAGTCCAGTTTATCTGTTTTTTTCTTTTGTTGCTGGGGCTTTTGGTGTCAAATCCAAGAAATGCTTGCCAAATCCAGTGTCATGAAGCTTTCCCCCTGTTTTCCTGTAGGAGTTTTCTAGTTCTAGTTCTTTGATCCATTTTGAGTTAATTTTTGTATACTTTTGAGTTTATTATGTAGCCAACAGATACAATGCTGTGAAAATACAAAATATGAGAGAAAGCAAATATAGGAGTTTTAATGGGTGGCAATTTCAAATTAGCCATTCTTCAATTGAAAGAAATAATATTTCTGTGCTCAGGCAGTTTTTAAAAATGTCTTGGGAGAAGCTGCAATTTGTACCTCTTTCCTGCTCCTGCCCATCAGCTACCCCACCTCTATGCATGTCTGGTGTTTTCTGTGGCTTTCATTCCTGTGAGGCAAGTATTTCACTTTTTGTACCCTGAGGCCCCAAATGATCAATCAAAATAATAATAGTGAATATTTGAGTGGATACTTTTCAGGTACAGTGCTAAACACTTTTACATGTATCATTTCACTGTATCTCATAACAATCCCATATGATGGTGTGATGATGACTATTATTATTTTTGATTGCAGAAATTGGGGCTTAGAGAGGGTAAGCCACTTGCCCGTGTTGAACTGGTACTCAAATCTGGGTCTATTTGGCACTAAAGCCTTTGTCCTTAAACACTGGACTACTTGCTGCAGGCCTGTAGGTCAGCATTGAATACTTTCTGGATCCATCTGTGCTCAGGGAGTGATGGAACCAGAAGGTGATTGGTTGGTTAGTTCCATTTCCTCCTTTATGCCTGTAGACCATCAAGATGGGCCTAAATGTCATGTAGATGTAGCTTCTACACCTTTTTATTGAGTAGATACTGGTGGGAGCTAAATCACCTACTGTGAGATAGAATGGTAATGAGAGGAAGCAGGGATGACTGTTTCCTCATCTTCCAAGATCAACTAAGAGCCTGCTTCCTCTAAACCCTGACCTGAGCTTTTATCCTAGGGAACCTTAGATGTCATAGCCACTTGGCGTTATTTCCGGCTTGCAGCTTCCCATATGTATAGGTTTCATTCAGAAGGACATGTTTTCTAGAATCCTGGATTTTATACAAAATTACTGTACTCTCTTTTTCTTCTTTCCTTGACACCAGTCGTTTTAATGTTAGTAACGCCAATGTTCTATGTAGAATATGTTGTATTTTAGTGACAAGGAAACCAGTAAAACATTCGTGAGAAGCTATTACATTCCATGAGAAGGTATTCGTGGGAAGGTATCACATGCCATGCAATAGTATACCATTTTCTTTCTGATGAATCTAATTGTAATCACGCTATTAACTGAATAGTTTGTAAACACCTATTGTGACTAGGCAGGAATCCTAAAAAGGTCCGTTGGTGATTGACCTATAAGCAGAGTGACCAGACGCTGTAAGAAGCAGGCCTAACCAAATGCACCAAAGGGCTGAGAAAAAGATTTCCAGGGCAGGCAAACTGTGGCCCAAGCCTTAAGAGAGGGACAGGGGCCATAGGGCTCAGGTGCAAATGGGGCTGGGAGAAGATGTGGTGAGTAGAACTGGAGAGGAGTTGGGGAAGGGTTGCCAACAGAGGAAACAGTCATGAGCATTTCAGAGGGCAGAGCATGTACTAGACACTGGGATGTCCACTCTGGCCTGAACGTGGGGGAGGACGATGGAGTGGCAAGAAAGGAGATGGCCTTGTGGAGTTCAAATTTAATCCTAAACCCTATGGGCAGCCACTGGAGGACTAGGAAGGAAAGCAACATTATCTGATTTGTATTTTAATAAGATCACCCAGGAAACATGTGTGGGCTGGAGTACAAGGCAGAATCAGCTGATAAATACTCCTAGTCCAAAAAATTTGTGGGCATAAAACACCACCAAAGAAAAGCCAATCATTTTTAACTCTGAGCTTCATTTAGACTACATTTTTTTTTTGTCCCTTTGATCAGAATTAATCAGAGGTTCTCTTTCTATTCTACTTCAACATTCTGATGTATTCACACAGAATGACGACTGTGCCTTCCCTCACAAACATTTGAGTCTTTATTTTTTCATCAAATTCATTCAGAGTTTAAACCTTGAATGAATTCATGTGACAAAACACAATGACGGCTGAAATGACTGTTTATAATTCATTATTAGAGAAAAACAAAAGTTTATCAAAATAAAATATTTCAGAAGACAAATGCTAATGTGTTTTTACAGTAGCTTCTAGTCCTACCAGATTACTAGGTGGGAAATCTGGAGAAAAGATCTTTGAGGGAAACAAGTTGTGAGAATGTGAGAGGAGACAGTCTTGCTGGTGGCACTTGTTGTTTGTGGTAAACGGGAGACCTGCCTTTTCCATGGCATCACAGAAAACTCTGGTTGTGCATGAAATTTCAGTCTATTTATCAGAATGACTTCTAGTCCAATGCTATGTGGCTATGTTTCCGTTTTTTTTCTAATCCTTGCAAAGAACGCTATCTTTTTAGGTCTACCTCCATGTGAATGTACATCAGATTGCTCTTTTGGGGAAGGAAGAGGGCATATTGTTCAAATTCTAGATTGTTTCCTATTACTTCTTAATAGTTTTCTTTTGCATTTCTCTCCCCATCTTTCCTTCAACTTCTTAACTTCTTTCCCATAATTTTATAAGATCATTTAAAATTGCCTTCAAGAATTCAGATTTGCCATTATATAATCATTTCCTGGAAATGCAAAAACACAATAACAACAAGAAGTGATGTAAATGCCCTGGAGGTGAATGATGGGCCTGAGAGACTATTTGATTTTGAACAGAGGATGAGAAGCACATTCTCAAGGAAACCTTATCATAAGTGTAGTCTGTTGATGAGGACTGTTTGTTCTCATTACCTTACAATTAAAATCCAGTCAAAAAAAAAGACACTTGTGTCTTTCAAAAGACAACATTATTATAAGCAATTTGACTGGCTAGGTAGTGGGCCCTAGCCCTGGGCTGCTTCTGTCTACCCTGTACTGACTACCAGTTAATACTGAGCAAGCAGGAAGTAGCTAAGACTAAGACTAAATCCTAAAACTATACCTCTTGAACTCTTATTCTGCAAAATTTTCATAAGCCTTCTTGTTTAAAAAAATAATTTGGAAATCATTTCAAGTCTACGGAAAAGTTACAAGAATAAAAATAGTGCAGACAAAACTCTGATACCCTTTGCTTAGATTTACTTACTGTTAACATTTTACCACATTTGTTTTATCATTGGAGAGTAGGTGCAAATATTATGGTCCTCCAATTCTAAATTCTTGAGTGTGTACTTCTGAAAAATAAGGAGTTGTTTGTTTGTTTGTTGTTTGAAGACAGGTTCTCACTCTGTCACCCAGGCTGGAGTGTAGTGGAGCTATCACGGCTCACTAGAGCCTTGACCTCCCAGGCTCAACTGATCCTCCCACCTCAGCCTCCCGAGTGGCTAGGACCCCAGGCATATGCCACCAAGCCTAGCATTTTTTGTTGAGACAGGGTCTCACTTTGTCACCGAGGCTGGTCTCAAACTCCTGAGCTCAAATGATTCTCCTGCCTTAGCTTCCCAAAGTGCTGAGATTACAGGTGTGAGCCACCACACCCAACCAGATAAGGATATTCTCATATATAACCACAATACC